TTTTCTTTCGTTTGTTGTTGCTTGTTTTTCTTTTTTATGGGGGGCCGCTTTTGGTCTTTTGTAAGACGCTATCGTGTATGTATATCTTGTGAATAAGACAGTTGGTTTGCCTTTGATTGCATATCTCAGACTTTCTTTCTCATTCATCATTTTTTTTTTGAAAAAGATCTTTAGATTTTTCCGTGATGAGTCACTGATTTTTAGTTGGGAATTCGAATAAGGTCGAATTTAGCTTGCTTGTGGGATGATATAGTGCGGAACGTTTTCCTGATGTGTTGTTTTGGTGGCGTTTGTTCCTTGTTCGCGTACCTGGGAGAATGCTCATGTTCCTATCCCAATCCAAAAAAGAAAAATAACTAGTCAAACCCAAACGAAATCGTCTGTTACCTTGACCTGATTGGTTGGCGAGGGGAAAGGGGCGCTGTAGAACGACTCGTTTTGCCCCGCACTCTAATGACGGCTTCAGAGTTGATAGCCTCGTGCTTAGCTTCGCTGTTAGTCGAGTCTGGGCTTCTTATGGGCTGACAACTTACTTTGCCCGTTGGGATCTCGAGCTCGAGTCCCAGTTTGATCCCGTCCCAGGTGTACAAAAATAAAGGAAACATAAGTTATACTTCGTACATACGGGAACAAAAATAAGGGAGACATAAGTTATACTCCGTACATACGGGTAAGACAAGCTTGTTATTTCAAAGAATCATACAATAGGTTATCGTCCCTTCCTAAGAGGGGCAATGTGCATGAAGTATAGATCGGAATCTAACGTTAATATAGCAAATAGGATTGCGGACGTGCTCAGTGCGTAGTGGCCATAATCCCACTTTGACAACTCATACTCACGACGTGCCAAACCCATCGCTACAGTAAGACGTGGATTTTGTACAGATATCAGACATAATTTTGATTTCAAGCAAAGATCTGACCTTGGTTGGTTCGGTTATTTCAAAAGCTTGCCTACGAATTTCTCAAGTTGGTGTTCGCAATGAGAGGGCGAGGCTACGACAACCGGGAAGTGGAACTCTGGCTAACTTTAGATCTAGAGGAAACTAAAACTTTGGCTAGAAAGTCCCCACAGACGACACTAAATTGTTCGACCAAAAAGTGTTAAATCTTTTCGTGAACTAATTAAATAGGAAGATTTGAGGTAAATCCTAGCCAAAGATAATTCATCCTAGATTTGAGGTAGCAGATAAGAATGAACAAGCATAGCTGAACATGAAATTTAACCATAGCAATAATTGAATCCCATAATGTAAGAAAAGGGTGGTGATTTTCATAACACTGAATGATAATGAAGAACACAGATAAAAAAAGGTTACCGTTCTTTAATAAGATTGATCCCCATACATTTGACATAATGAAATTAATGATGCATACTGAAGATCTAAGCTTCCTTTCCCTTTTCCCCTTTGCGAGAAGAGAGAGTTGAAGATCCTTCTTCCTCTCCGGAAAAGTCTACATGTGTGTCCGTTTTTCTCTGCCCCACCTTTTCCTTCGTTCTCTCACCTAGTATATATACTGAGTATTCTCATTTGCACAACGGTCATTAGCCAGAGTGCCTAAGTCATTAAACTGGATTACAAATTGACCCTCTGAAATGCCATGACATCCAATTCACCGTACAAGCCTTCTGAGTACACGACCTCGGCCGTGGCCGAGGTGCTTGTTGCTATAGCGTTGTACGAATACGACTTCAGCCTAAGTGACTTGCCGTCCCTCTTTACGCAGATTCTTGTTTGGTCAGATTTCGACCCATACAAATAGCACCATCATTGCTACAACATATGGAACTGTATTCATATTACTTCCTCAACAACGTTATTGTTCACCATAGAATTATCTGCTCTTTACATCAAAATCCAACTTCCAAATAAAACTCTTCCATAATGAGAAAGTAAAAAAGATTAGCCGATGCTATAATGAAGCTGCAGGTTTCTTGAACAGGATTTACTCAGGCTCCGCTACTTTCTTCTATTCCTAATTATGAATATGAGAGGTACTAATCAATATCTTTTTTTTATAATTGTATTGTCCTGACCAACTTGTGCGCACCTCGACTAATTCCATGGGATATTTGCCACCTCCCACTAGGAACACATACTACATAACTCTTACCTAGTGTTTTTGTCTCCGCTAGGATTCGAACCTTGGACCTCAAGCTCTCAACCCACTTCATTTCTATTTACTAATCAATATCTTAGTAAATAAAAATCAATAGACAACAATTTTTCCAGTAAATCATTATATTTTACCATCATCAACTACTACTACTACTACTACTAAAACATACCAACCCCACAGTAGTTGGGATCAAATATATGAATCTTCTACATCCCTTTTGCTCCATTAGGCACATCCTATTCCAACTAGTACTACTAATCCTAATAAAAATCAGAACTTTTCACAAAATTAGTACAACTAATCCTAATAAAATCAGAACTTCTCACAAAAGAAAAAAGTGGAATATTCTCTGCAGCTAAAAAGTGCGGGCAAAAAGCCAAGTAGCATTGCATTAAAGAGTTAATTCATAAAGTACCAATGCTATTAGCTAAAGGTACTAAGTTTCCAAATAAATAACAACTTCAATTGCATACATTCAAGAAAACTTAAGCATTAGTACCTGCCCATCATACCATCCTGTCTCTTCATCTATCACCAAGCAAATCCAAAGAAGAAAACAATTAGTTGACATTACTATCGAAAATATAATACTAATAAAAACTCAATCAAACAAAATAGTAAGAAAATTACATTCAACAGTGGCACTGAGCAATCTGTTACCAACATAAGCCCAACCAAGATACATCCTCACAACAGCCAAAGTGACTACAATAACCCCACCAGAAACAGCACCCAAGAAAGGTTTAAGGGGCTCGGGTTCGGGCCCAACCGACCCGAATAAGTTAACGGGTAGGCCCACAAAGAGGGCAAACGCAAGCCCAGTAGCAAAAAGACGGGAACAATACTCAACCAAGTCACCTGAAGCCCATGAAAACGGGAAAGAATCAGAAAGGGCCTTGAACTCGTTAACGGGCTGCTGCTCAAGTGGGACCGGGCACTCAGTTTCTGGTAACGGGTTGTTATTTCTGAAAGATGACAAGGGTATTCTTGGAATAAATCTTTGGTTATGAAAATGGTGGACTTTAAGATGATGATGGGTTGATGAAAAAGCAAAAGAGAGAGATGGGTTTTGTGAGAATGGTTTTAGGGAGCGAAGAACCAGTGTTGTTGTGGCCATTTGTTAAGTCCACTTACTATTTTTCTTTTTCGATTTGATTTTGAAATAGTTAGTAGTTATAATAATAAGGTTTATGTTTGTACATTTCTTTTCTCTTTTTGTTTTTTTGCTTGTGATGTTGGACGTGGGTTGGTTCATCTTGGAAAAGTCTACGGTGATATTGAATGGAAAAAATATCAAGAGTTGAGTGAACTTGGAGAACTGTAAATACCATTCTGCCCAAGTTAGATCTCTAATTTTGACACGCATTTTTCTTTTTAAAAAAAAAGTTAAATTGCATTTATTCTTACGCCAAACCACATTAATCTAATATTATTAAGTAATTAAATTGGTGTGAGAAGGAGTAATTAATTATGGTAGTGTATATAAGTAAAAAGATATGTTATGCATTTATTAAACTAGATTTAGTGTACGTGTATTGTACGTGCATTCTGCATTTATCAATGACATAAATTCCAAAATATCCCCACTTGTGAATTTCAAAATATTCCACTGAAATCTTCTAATTTTTTAATTTATTTTTTTCCTATCTTTTTCTTTCCACCACCTTTCTGCCATCAAAATCAATCTCAAGACTTGACAGTTTATTGTTTTTAACACCTTTATTTTCGTCTAATACTTTGGATCAATACATTTAGACTATTGGTCATAAAATCAAGAAAGTATTATAATATTCACAAACTCAATAGAAAGAGAAAAAAAATCAAGCTTAGAAAGATAGAAAATATAGTGCCAAAGTTGATGTCAGAAGAAAATAGGAAAAGTTGAATCGTCAGAAATAGGGACCTAGTCATAACTTTTGGATTTCTATTTTTAGCCAATATGTATTGTTGTATTCTATTCAAGTTTTAATAATTTAACTTTACAAATCCTAATCCTGGCCAAAGAAAAACTTAAAGAATCCTAAACATAAATGCACAGCAATTTTTTATTTTTTCCCAAATTAAAATTTAACGGTGACCACAATTACAATTATATCCAACTTAGAATGCACATAACAAGGGTTAAAAAGGTAAATGATATTTCGATAGGGGCTTCGTGCTTTTAATATAATATAGATAGATAATGTGAATAAATTTTTCCTTATATTTTCACTCTTTCTATTCTACTTTATATGATACTCTTACTAGTTGAGAAGTTGAACAATGGTTTTTTTCCACTACAACATTTTTTAAAAAATCTTTAAAAATTTTAATTATAAAAAGTTGTGTTTGGTAATAATTAATGCCGTTTCCGCTAATCGGATGTTCGAAAGGAGACCAAAATTAGAAGATTTGACAAAATACTAATAGTACTCTGATGCTTTGTTTGCTTATTGTTTAGCAATTCATAGAATAACATTCAGGTAAAAGTTAATACCCCTAGTTAAGATTTTTTTATCAGAATATGGCACTTTTAAGTGTTGGGGTCGGGGTTTCGGCTAGCTGGTGCTTGTATTACTCACTTAACCCAAATATGTAATATTGACTTGGTGGTTAACGAGTTAAGATGAAAGAATTAAGATCAGAAGTTTCATTTTCAAAGTTATTAAAGCATGATTTTTTTGTTCTTGATAATAATGTGTACTTCTTGTGAATCTCAAAAAGTTTAAGACTCTCTAAATCAAAGCCTGAGTTTGTTGTTCTTCCTAATAGTGTGTCGTTCTGCACTAGTGAATCTCCAAAAGTTAAAGACAATGTTAATATCACACTGATATTCCTACCACTTGACCAGAAGAAATTACTTACTCAGCTACAATCTCGTCAACAGATTCAACATTCCGTTTGTACCAAATAATCCAATAAGTTAAAAGGAGCCAACAATTTGCATTTTGAATTTGTAGGCACTTGCTCTCAATTTGGCTACAGCCTACTAAGTGTAAGAGAACATTTAGACAATGACAACACAGGCAAAAGAGAAGAGTTCACCCACAAAAGTAGTTGGGGCATTTTAATACCTCTTTGGCAATGCGTTGAATCCGCAGGGACATAAGCTCCTTACTCAAATTGGTGGCTCTACCCCTTAGCAAATAAGTGTAGCACTGTACAAGTATGACTATACACAAAACTGTCTTTAGCACAACAAAGAGAAGGAAGATGGTAATGCAGGAAATTTTCCTCATATCCATTTATTCTTCTGTTGGTACACAACCTGCAGAGGCCGACTGTTTACAATTGCTTCCTTTGACGACCTTAACAGAATTGAGACTTCTCCTCTGCTGCTCGTTTTTTGAACTCATTACATATCTCAATAGTAGTACATTCATCAGCCTAAAATACTAACTAAAAAGGATTTTATTTCCTTCTTTCCTTTTCTTTTTTTTTCCTTTTCATTTTACATAGTTCAAGTCCCCATACGACGATCCCTATGACCTAATTTCAACTACTGCACTTCGTGCAGCCATTGATTTGGAGATATCTGCCTGTTTCTGAATTGGTTGCGTTGAGTCCCCACTTCGAATGAACCAACTGCTTCCAATCCAGGGTTTTCTTGTGTGCTTCTTTGCATCCACAAGACTTTGCAATCAATTCTCAGTTGCTCTGGCTCTTTTTGAGCCTAGAAACAACCTTCTGTTATTATTACAACAATACCTAACCTGTCAACCTTATTGCTGATTTGTACAAGTTTCAAATCCCTGGACATTAAGACGCTGAAGACACTTGAGACGAGTTATGATCTGCCCAAAAGAAGGGCGCGCTTGAGAATTTCTGCAGGAGAAGAAATGCATTAGTCATTTAATACAAAGAAAAACTGCAGCAATTCTCAGACTGTGCACATCTCAACACTCTTGTGGACACGAACAAGTCTGAAAATCATCTACTCATGAAATAATATCAGAGTTGAATAGACGCACTGATTCCAACAGTCACTTATAATCTCTGCAACTATGGGATCAACAGTTGCAGGAATATCAAGGCGTCTACCCTGAAAACCAACAGCTCCAACGACCTGCATTGAGTTCATCCCTGACCATGGCACTTTAAGAGTTGTCAACTCCCAAAATATTACACCAAAACTGTACACATCGGATCTGCAAACCAGGCAATCAAACTCATTTAATAAAATTCAAAACTAATAACCATAACAAAGTTGAGCACCATGACGGATATGAATAAAGAGCAAACTTACTTTTCATTGGATGGTTCATTCCTTAAAACTTCTGGTGCCATCCATTCAGCCTGCAATTAATGGAATGCCATTAGCAAATTTGAAGATTTCAGTCCTCTTTCTCACCCTATTTAGCCATACTTTGTCAGCTTTTTGTTTTTGTTCTAAATGGGTATGGAGCAGTAGAAAAGAGGCCTGGAAAAGATGGCATAAACTGAGTCATAAAAGTGAACATGCAATCACCGTTCCGGCCGTTGACTTTGAAGAGAGAAATGTGTGGTGCTTCATGCGAGACATCCCAAAATCACAAACCTTCAAGCATGGCAGAAGCATGGATTGTTGTAAGCAAAAGCTTAGTTCTCACAAATTTTATAGGCTATTATTTACAANCAGTGCCATGACGGATATGAATGAAGAGCAAACTTACTTTTCATTGGATGGTTCATTCCTTAAAACTTCTGGTGCCATCCATTCAGCCTGCAATTAATGGAATGCCATTAGCAAATTTGAAGATTTCAGTTTTCTCTTTCTCACCCTATTTAGACATAATCTTTGTCAACTTTTTGTTTTCGTTCTAAATGGGTATGGAGCAGTAGAAAAGAGGCCTGGAAAAGATAGCATAAACTGAGTCATAAAAGTGAACATGCAATCACCGTTCCGGCTGTTGACTTTGAAGAGAGAAATGTGTGGTGCTTCATGCGAGACATTCCGAAATCACAAACCTTCAAGCATGGCAGAAGCATGGATTATTGTAAACAAAAGCTTAGTTCTCACAAATCTTATAGGCTATTATTTACAAGATTCAAGTCAGACGCACCTTAACAACCCAATTTTTATCAACAAGAAGATTCGGAGTCTTCAAATCTCGATGCACAATGACAGGGTTGCTTGTGTGCAAGTAATTCATTCCTTTGGCCTACACGAAGTTGATAATTAGCAAACAGGTAACTAAAACTGAAACAAACCCAGGGATTCACTACCCAATAAATACCACATCAAGTGCCATCCGCATACGCCTTTTCTCATCAATTTGGATATTTGGACGATGCAGTAACCTATATAAACTTCCCCTGCACCAAAAATACAGGTATCAGATACACTTAAAGACAAGAAGAGAAAACAAAATTGATATATTACTTAATAGTAACAAACACGATATACTAAAAAGTATCTTGGCATCACTAGCAATACAGCTATAGATGATATAAGAGCTTCTTGCATGTTTAAACTATATACCCGTTTGCTCTCCAAAAAGCAAAGAAATAACAAGAGCATGATTTCGTGAACGCATTACAAAGATTTGAATGCACACAAGGAAAAAGGTATAAGTCACAACTNGAGACAAGAAGAGCAAACAAAATTGATATATTACTTAATAGTAACAAACACGATATACTAATAAGCATCTTGGCATCAATAACAATAGAGTTTTATATGATATAAGAGCTTCTTGCATGTTTAAATTGTATACCTATTTGCTCTCTAAAAAGCAAAGAAATAACAAGAGCGTGATTTCGTAAACGCATATACAAAGATTTGAGTGCACACAATGAAAAAGGTACAAGTCACTACTGATCCTGCAACATTGCCCAAAATATCCTGGGACGAGAATGGCTTGAAAAATGTATCCCATGAGCCAAGATTAGAAAGCCAAGGCTAAACATTTAAGAGATGGGCCAACTTTCAATCGTAGCATCTTAGTAATGTGCAAGTAGAAAAGAGTTCTCAACCTTGGCAGGAACTCAGTCAGTATAGAGAGATTTGGGGGGCGAGTTACAGCTCCCATGAAGAGAACAACATTAGGATGTCTCAGCCTCAACATAATTTCAATCTGCAAAACAAAATGCACACAAAGAGTCCTTAAATTTCAGGAAAGCTCATAAAGCACTAAGTACTACTCCACATCACATCTTCGTCTATGTACAACTTACTTCACATTTAAACTGTGCAAGGGCATCACTTGTAATATCCTGATTCATGAATTTCTTCACGGCAACTTCCTGCAATGCGGTAACATTAATTACATTCACTTAAGTTTACAGAAAAAGTGTGTTAAATAACTATAGAATACTACAGTCAACATTCCAGACCACTCTCATGCTACTTGCACAGAGGTGCTGGATGCTAGTCTATTTCTTTAATACTTAAACTATCAGTTCAAAGTAATGGCTGGACAGTGGTCGGACCACATGTCAACTTTCATGGACACCTCCAACCACGAACCATAACACAGATTTGACATGGTACCAGAGAACACAGAAACTACGAAAAAGCTATATTATTCAACTTACCATCTACGTAACTATTAGAGAATGTACATGTCCCACATCGATTCTGTAAACATTTCTAAAGGGATTTATAAAAGTCGTTCGCTATTTTACCAATTACCTTTGTATTTTGAATTGGGTGCTCCAATTCTTTCACATCGTGTTAGAGACATATTTTGATAAACCCATTATTAGAACCTATGTTATCACTCTACGCTTCTTTCAACTAAACCTATTGAACCACTCTGGACTTATCTCTTTCAATCCAATCCACCGAGCCATTATCTACTCTCTGCTGTAGGCACATTCCTTAACATTTGAGCCTTCTCTTTCAACCCCATGTCTATTTCTCATCCTGATGAGCTTACTCTCTCTGATTCGTGCATTCTCTTCAGCCTGTACTCGACCTATTTCTCTGCTCCAAACCCACTCTCTAGTCAATCAAGCAATTTTAATTTCTCAACAGTTAAACCCGTGAAAAAGAAAATCTTCAAGTTGACATGCAGACTTAGGAAACATGTCTCATATCGGCCGACAAGGATTCGCGATGGAGTTTATATATGTCTTAGAACTCTTTTTAATCTAACGTTATGTCACTTGAATTGATGTTTTCGGTCCAAAAACATGAGATTTGGAGACTTGAGTCCCCTGATTATTTGAGAACCTCAGTTGGAGGTTCTAACGACTTAGCTTGGCTTCTTCTATTGTAAGCGTCAACGTGTCCATGATCACCTAACTAAACAAGCTAATTTGTGGATGAAAAGGCCAAGCACATGGAGAGAATGTTGATTTCTAAATTGTGCAGTTATTTTTGTTGATGGACATGTTTTGACCATTCCAGACTTGTTACTTAGTTTGGGTGAAGGCCCGTGCTTAATATACTAAAGATGTTCCCCACTTTAATGATATTTCTAGAATGACTAACTTGAAAAGGAAGGAATCAGACATGTCTACTTATTAGGCACAAGTTCAAGCAGTTATGAAGGAGTTTAATAAGTTGATGCCAGTCATTGCCAGTGTTTAATAAGCAATTAGAACAGCGACAAAAAGGTTCTTAGTTCTCATACTTGATAGGCTTCCAAATGATCTTGACTCAGTGCAAGACCAGATTTTGGCTAGTCCCAATATTCCTACAGTGGATGAGGTGTTCTCCCGCTTATTACCTCTTACTGCTCCTAGCCACACAGTGGTTACCATTTCTAGCATCACAGACAGTAGAGAATCTAGGTGGAAGTTGCTTTGGAAATTCTTGACCTAAGTGCACTCATTGTTATAAAATTGGTTATACTCGTGAGAAGTGATTGGAAGGCTCATGTTGCCCAGATTAATTCCATTGGTATTCCGAGCAATCAGACATTCTCTTTTTCTAAGGCAGAGTTTGAATGACGTCCTCCAGGCCGGTGAGTGAGCAGAAACATGGCCTGTATCTCTCACCCTCCACTCATAGACCTGTGACTCAAGTGCCTCTGATGATATACTTGGTAATGAATCACTTTTTCTACTATCTCCTTTTCAGTCTCTTCCAACAGTCACAGGCTAATGGCACACCGACTATGCTAGAATTGGTCAATCACCTACAACTATGCCCAGTCTTTTTCCAAAAAATTGTATTTCATCCATTCTCCCTAATTCTTCATTATTCTCTAGGATTCTTCATCTTCTACTGAACTTAGTTTGAGGGCATTTAAATAGCTAAATTAAAGAATTAAGTTCTACTTTTCTTTTGTTTTGCTGGAGAAGGATCTTAGAGTGTCTAGGCTTCGGCCAGGAGGGTTCTCGATAAGTTCTTCAAAAAATCTGATTCAGGTCCTAAAATCCTAAAATGAAGAAGATTCTCTTGTTTTGCTTACGTTCTTTTCTTTCTAAAAGAAATATCTGATTAAGTTTAATTTGGGGAGCTAGGCAAAAGAAGTTGAAAACCCAAGTAACAGAAGGGAAACTTTTTAACTGCCCCTTCTTTACTCCTTCTTGCAATAATATCTAAACATCAGGTTTCATATGCTACTTCCATTTTTGGTTTTATACTACTTCGCAATCTCTTCAATCTTAAGGAGGATAAAAGTAGCTCATAAAATTGAAGGTGAATTGGAATGCATGATCTAAGATAAAGAGAGAATGAAAGTGGTTAAAACATTAAGCTAGGTGTAGATTGATTTGGCATAGAGAAACCATCATTACTACATGTACAAGATATTTCCCGTGATGTGAATGTATATGTTTGCATTCTTATCCAAAAAGAAAGTGTATATGTATGCAATCAGGAGCAAATGCATAGGTGAGAGTTAATTTGCAACTTAGGGACTAATGGGAAGAAACGAACTCGTGAAGAAAATAACAGCTTATCTATTAAGCTACATATAGAGACCAAAGAAGAGATCTTATCTTTACTGCATACTATTATCTGAAGGAACAGTTGGTTTGAGTGCTACTGCAAGCCCAATGACTTCTAAATTAGCTTTATCATCTTCTATTCCAAGCATATCACGTAGGAAAACAGAAACTTTATGCAGCAGTGCTGCTAAAATTAAAGTAGACTGGAAACCCTAACTATCCTTCCCCTTAGAATCATGAGAACCACATACGATTCCATGCTGCATTACTTTTTTTTTTTTGAATTGGTAACTATTGTATATATTAAAAACATCAGTACATAGGTTGCACTGAAAACCAAATTTACATGAAGAGGATTAGTAGATGTTCTAATTCGAGACCTAGCAAGATCCTAGTATGTCTATGATTGTCAATGTATCTTCTATGTAAATCTGTTTGCACCAAAAACAAAAAAGAAGAATANACTGAAAACCAAATTTACATGAAGAGGATTAGTAGATGTTCTAATTCGAGACCTAGCAAGATCCTAGTATGTCTATGATTGTCAATGTATCTTCTATGTAAATCTGTTTGCACAAAAAACAAAAAAGAAGAATAGTTAGGTCTATGCTGCATTACTTTTTGTTTCTCTTTTCCTTTGTCATTGTCCTTCACAAATCACATCTTTTGAAATATCTTCAATGAGTAGTACAAGCTACCTAAATATTTTGTCATGTCATTGATTGTACAGAGTGCGCTAAGAAGCGTGTATGCACCCAAATGTAGTGTTAATAGTTCCTACTGTTTCACAATACAAGGAAAAGATTGACAATAGATATATGAATTTTATAATACTCTCCAATTTGAAAGAACTCTTCAGAAAATTAGAAAACTGATCCAAGAAAAACACAAATTCATTCTGCTTTCTTAGGAAAATGGAACATACAGAAAAGGGACTTGTCAAATAGAGCTGATGCACTATGGTTCTTATTCTACTCAGGGTAGACGATGGATATATAAATCAGAAATAAGACTTACTGTGCCATTCCATTCTGCACGGTATACCTCGCCAAATGACCCTGAAAAGTCACCTCAGTGTTATTATGTTGAGCATTCCATCTTAAAGATATTCAGTTTTTCACATTCACTTTAGGCAGAGACAAATAACTAATTTACATGGTAAACTGTAGAAACAAATAATCTGCTTCCTAAAAGTAAGCAAATAAAAGGACGTCAATCCCCATAGGTGAGGGATGGGGGAAATCTGTAGCAAAGTACTAAAAGTCCCTACTCAAACAATATTACTGAAGGCACTCACCCAAAAAATTTTGCCCTGTGAATGAAGTTGTGATAGAGAAATGGGAGTGGCCAGTGACAACAAAGTATACTTATAGAACTGGAGTGTACATAATACCAAAAAAGGGATACTATGATAACTTTTGGTAATAAGATATTGAAAAGGCATTGACATATATAACATCATTCTGTTTCCAGAAATTGGTCCAAATATGAACTGAAGTTGGAATGGCAGTAGTGTATTAATCATGTTAAGAAAGGTGATGCATTCAGCTATTATCAATTAGATGGAGGAGATCCAAAGCCCCAAGAGTTGGCTAAGTAACTAATAGCACATACATAAAATAAAAGATCTTATCATCTGCCAATTCACCCTAACCCAACGTACAAGTTACAATTTGCCAAAAGAATAAAAGCAGTTAAACTAACACAGAAGACAGTTTTGACAAGTACCTAATCTAACAAAATCCTCTAAATACGTCTATTTTACACCTTATTATTCATATAAATTCACCTATGACCTATTAACAGAAATATTCTCAAACTAGGAAATTCTAAAATGAATAAGCCTGAAAACACATAAACTTGGACAAAAGAAAATGACCGACTTTTTTTGTTTATGAACAAGTTTAACAACATCAATAGAAATGGTTTTTTACAGAGCATAAAAATATGATGTTGCTCTATTATCTGAAAACATACTAAATAGCCGAGCAGACACTAGTATGTACACAGTTTTATTTTTATTAAAGGTAATGAAGAAAAACAGTAAACTTTGCATCATTTGGTAACTGCATATGAACTGTCAGCTACATAGTTTAAGAATAACATACAAAACTATTCCGTCTGCCATTTTTCTTCAATCATTTTAAAACAAGATAGCTGTTCATATGTCTACTACAGAAAGGCAAAAGGTGCAAGCTTAAATTTGATTTTAGATATAGCCACCGAGACTTTTTCCAAGGTTGCACTGCCCATCCATGTACAATCACACAAAATGAACTTAAAGAACTTGGTCTTACCAATACCAATACGTTCACCAACATGGAGATCTTCCCATGGAATTTCCCACTCTGCCACCCCGCGTAGCATTGGAAGCTGCTCCTTCTGCACCGTGTAAGACTTGGACTGAATGCAAGTAACTATTTCCCTTGCTTTACTAGCTGATTCTTTGTCTTTGTATGTACAATTGTTATCTGAAATATTTCCAAAATTCTCCCTATAGCATTTATCACCTTCATCAAGCAAGACAACTTTCAGATTGTTCTTTTAGAATGGCGAAAAGTCAAGAAATCCACAAAAAAGGAAATTGAATCTAACTAGGCTAATTTAGGGGATGGAGAATATGAGATAGGGAATAGAGACTATCAATTCTTTTCCAAATTGGAATCCTTCTAAGAAGTCTATGGGATCATATGGATGCTTGTCCCCATTTTGACTCTTGTATGGGGAATCACAATAGGTGTACTAGTAATTGTTTGGTTAGAAAGAGAAATATCTGCAGGAATACAACAACGTATCAGCACACGTTGTTAAATAGAAATTAGGAATGCCCGTCGTTGATAATTTAGTCATCAGCCAGTTGTTCTTGAATGGGCCCATTCAAGGATGTAAAATATCGCAGTGTGATAAAGAATCAACTAAAAAAGATCCCCTAATTCCAATTAGGAACTCATTTCACGAAGATGAATAAAGTAAAATCCAAGAAATGCTCCATCACCAGTTTGGATTGTTTCATCCATTCTACATCTAACAGGTGGGAAACTCTCACCTGAAGTATCATTTAATGCATTGTCTCCAGGTGCAGTAACAGTATACTCCTGTTTGTGCTGCAAAATGCCAGTTTCATAGGTGATGCTGTAAGGGAACTGCATCCCAGTGAAGGCTATAAGAGACTGCTTGTTATTTTCTGAACTTTGTCTAGTATCAACAACCCTATTCTCTGATAATTGATTTTTTCCAGCAACAACTCCTAAAATCAAATCTGATGGTAAATACATTTGACTCTCTGGAAGAACATCTTGAAGTTTAACCTCTGTGTTTTCTGCAGGACCGTTCACATGCTCATAAGCTTCTCTAGCTTGCGTTATCTGTGCCATAGATGTATTATCATGGGAAACTGCTGAAGTGTCGCATAATCTAGTCGATGATGGAAGGAGATTTCCACAGTCATGCTCAAACTGCGTGCTTCCAGGTCTAACTGAACTATTTCCACTACCGCCCTTTGCTTCAATGCAGTAGAAAGCTGGTTCAGCCCTTGAAATCCATGTATTGGCAGTTCCATGAGCAGCAGTAACTGAACCTGATTTCGTCCCAGTTTGTGTGTCAAATACCGGAATTGAAATGATAGTACCACCAGCAGGAAGTGGTGTAACACTGTGCACGTCTACTGCATAACTTTGTAACTGACCACTTGATGCCTCGGTGGGAATCAGGGCACCCGGTGCACCCATTAAATCAATTATATATTCACTGCACGTTAAACCAATAATCATCAGATCCTACTGGAAAATTTCCTAAATTTTCATGGTCGTAATTCTACAGAGAGAAGGTTAAAGAACTAAATAGAAGATAAAGGCAAAAGGACAAATAGCAAATATCCTACATGAAAATAGCAAGCCTTAGACAGTAAACTTTTGACTAATTACTTGACAACAGAAAAGAGATTGTACAGTGGGAAATAAACAGTACTAATTTTTGTTGACAAGTATAAACAATACTTTTTTTATAAGTATAAACAGTACTAAATTTTACAAAGACGCATTTGGGTATGCCTTCATCTACTTGATAACCGAAACAAGAAAGAAGAAAAACTAAAATGGTTATTCTCGCAAAATAATATAAATCGGCAAGTATTAAGTATAGCAGTAGTCTCTGTGCAGAAAGTTCAACAAACTTGTTTCAAAATCAAAAGCAGATCTGCTAAGTCGCTCAAGCAGCTCAATACTTAAAATGAGAACAGGCTAAAAGGAGTGCAGCATCTTTTTCGAAGCTAGCATTTACCCATCTAAAACCCTCTAAACCTTACACCTGCGCTGTATGATTTTCAACAGGGTGTGTCAGAAATAAAACAAAGAAGAAGGAATTGAGAGCGTTAAATCCCACATTGGTTGAGGGAATGGGTTGCGGACTTGGGTAATCCCCCTTCATGAGCTAATTTTTTGGGTTAGTTAGGCCCAAGGTCCATTTCTTCACGTGACATCAAAACCAGACCCATCAATTCATGTTGTTGTGATTCTCATGTTGGGCCCTTGTGTGTTATGTTATTCACGCTCCAGTTGTCCAGTTTTGGGTGTAAGGGGGAATGTTAAGCGCCACATCAGTTGAGGAAATGGATTGTGGTCTCATTATAGGGTCCTGGGGCTAGTTTTTGGAGTTGAGTTAGCCCAAGGTCCATGGATGAAAAGATTTAAAAGAGAGAGATAAAAAAACTCGATAGCCACTGTGAATGCTTTTCTTAGAAATATTACTTTTGAGAAAGCAGAACAAAATCTTAAATAAGTTCAAAACACAAACCGATATTTTCAGCAAACACTATAGTTCACATATACATCCAGGAAATATGCCCATCAAAAAATTGTTTACCTTCCATTGTCAAATTTGATCAAATTAACTGCTCCATCATCAGTGCCAGTATAGTAACTTCCCTTAACGAGCTTGCATGGCAAGTTGATTCTATCAGCAAGTACCTATCAGCAGAGAAAATGATCCATATTGGTTAGAAGCACGAGTCTGGGAAAGACACCAACAGAAATCAGAGAAAAAGGTGGCTCCTTTAGAAAAGAAAACAGCTCAGCAATGAACGAGTACAGAAGAGAAAGTATCATTTACCCTTGGAAGTCAGAAATTTTCCATATTTTCCATTCGATCACAAAAGGAGTAAATACATTGAAAAACAATAGAATTAGCGCTGCTTTTTATTTTGAATAAGATGCCTGATGCCCTTATGCTAAAGCATGAATTTCACCGCTGAACCTAGACAGACATGCAAAGATCTATTTGAAGTAAATAGTGGGTGATACAGATGATAAAATGTGGAAGTTAGCCCAGGAATACTTCGATTCTGGATACTTAAATGGTAATGAGTACCAAATCATTTGATACTGAATCCAACACCGATTTATCCTAAAGCAAGTTAATCATCCATATCAATCTAGTAAAGAAATGTAAGGGAAGATTGAAGCTGTTGTCACCTTAAAGAGTAAGGCCCTATGTCTTGAATGTCCAATATCAAGACAGCCAAGGGGAAGAATGATAGACTTCAACGAAATTCTTAGCTCATAACTCCTTGCAGTCCACCTCTTTGACATTTCTTCTGCATCATTAACAGGACCTCCCATTCTATTAGCAACAAGCTCAGCAATTTTCTCAACTAAAAAACTTGTAACCGGGACCTTCTTCAAAGCTCGGCATTCCCGGGACATGAAGTACACTCTCTCCTCAAGCTGTCGCAGTTCCATATCAGCTGCACGGTTTACTAAGATAACTTCGTAATTAACATTATCCAAAACTGAAACTGCTTTTAGATCCACTAATAAAGGCATCTTCCCCTGAACCACCGCACTGGAATTAATTCCATAAACATCATAGAATCCATCCACCACTTTCTCATCATAATTTACGACATTATAGTTCTGCATTAACACCAAGTAGGAGGTTTAGTACCAATTGAAACTTAAGATGCAAAAATTAAGCAAAAAATACAGGAAACAAAATACTAAATAGAGACAGCCCTAATTCTGCTAAAATTTAAACATGCAAGAGCAGCATGGATCTTGAAATTGTTTTCAGCAAATATAGGTAGCAGGAGATTGTCAAGAATTTTAAGGATCTAAGTATATTCCTCCCCAGAAATAAAGTCCAATTTTGAACACAAGGACATAATCATGTGCAAAACTACACTTCAACATGGCAACAGTAAGTGAAAATCTATTTCTCTGGTGTTACGAACTAAACTTAGTTCAAACTAGTAACGGTAACTGTTTATACACAGACAACGACTGTGTTTATTAATACTTTTATACTGCAGCCTTTGTCAGTGTTGAATGTTCTAATTCAATAGGAGATAGGATCGAGGTAAGAACTAAATATTAAGTGAAAGTGGGTCCAATAAAGAGATAAACTTTAACTTCTTGGTGTATTTACTTCAAAATAATGTAAACATTAATCCAATCCTACCTTTCACTAACATGAAATTAAACACTCTTTTCATTTTAAGAAAGTAAGAACTTTTGGAAGGACCTATAAAGCAAAGCTGGAGCAAAAGAACTGCATGTTATCATTTGCAGAAGCAGCAACTTTAAGAATACTACTATGACACTAACCTGACACTTCAATTGGAGAAGAAAGAAGTCTTAAATTATTCATCACTATTGACATGCATACCACTCAGTCTAAGAATAAGAAATATATTTTCTCCAAAAATTAGACATTAAATTTAGATTAGACATATTTATCAAAAGAAAAAGTTCAGATCAGCCATAACCAATATAAAGGGACTGACATAGTAAAGGAGGCTAAACAAAGCTATCAAAGGGATGTGTGCCATGGCTCGGAATATCCTTCTTTAAAGGAAAATAGGACAACTAGTTGGAAAAAAAGGAGTACATGTTTTGCGTCCGGTCATTACCTTTAATTATCTCCCTCGGTTAGAGGGGGTAGGGAGAAGGGGGATATTGTTTCTTATGGAAGTTAAGATTCTTTCATGGAATGTGAGGGGGATGAATGACCCAAACAAAAGGGTCATCATCAAAGTGGGAGTTAGAGAGTGGGGTGCTAACCTAGTTTGCTTTCAGGAGACAAAAATGGAAGTTTTGTCAGATGTGATTGTGAGGAGTGTCTGGGGAGGTAGTTGGATAAAATATGACTGGGTTCCAGCAGTGGGAAATGCCGGGGGCATTCTTCTAATGTGGGATGATAGAAGCTTGGAGGTAAAGGAGATTAAGAAGGGAGTTTTTTCTTTAGCAGCTCTTGTCAAAGATAGAGTGAGTGGGGATTTGGGGGAGTGTACGGAGCGGTAGGACAAGGGTCCAAGGTTTTTTTTGGGAGGAACTGGCCAATATGATGGGAGAATGGGACATTCCATGGGTTCTGGGGGAGACTTTAACACTATTAGATTCCCGGTGGAGAGATTAGGGTGTAGTATCATTTCGAGGGCCATGGAGGAGTTTTCTGACTTCATCAATGATCACTTTCTCATTGATCTTCCTCTGTCAGGGGAAAGGTTTACTTGGGCCAGGGCGGAGGATTCCAACTCAAGGTCTAGACTTGATAGATTTCTGATATCGCCCTCCTGGGATGAGTTGGTGCCGAATGTGCTGCAGATTCCTTTACCTAGGCTGACTTCAGATCATTTGCCTATCTTGCTAGATGGATGCAGAGGGAGGGGGGTGCGTGCTCCCTTCCGGTTCGAAAACATGTGGTTGAAGGTGCCAGGATTTGGTGACAAGGTGAAAGAATGGTGGACAAGCTACGGGGTATAGGGACACATTCATTCCGTCTTTCGAGGAAACGTAAATTGCTCAAGGGAGATATTATTAGGTAGAATAAGGAGGTTTTTGGGAGGATAAAGGTTAAAATGAAGGAGCTTATGCATGAATTGGGGGATCTAGAGAAAGGAGAAGGGGCGAGGGAGTTAGATGAATCTAAGAAAGAGAGATTGGGGGAGGTTAAGAGGGAAATAGTCGAGTTAGCAATAGCTCAGGAGACTAGTTGGCGGCAAAAATCGAGGGCGTTATGGTTAAAGGAAGGGGATTCGAATACCAAATTTTTTCGCAGGGTGGCGGTTGCAAATCGAAGGAGAAACTTCATAGAGTCCTTAGTGGTGGATGGGGTGAGGATTGAGGGAGAGGAGGAGGTAAAAGGGGTGATAGTGGGGTTTTATGAGAACTTATACAAAGAGGAGTTTAGTTGGAGGCCAACTTTGGGGGGAATAAAGTTCAACCACATAGGGGAGGGAGATAGTGAGTGGCTAGAAAGGGCTTTCGAGGAGGAGGAGGTGCACGAGGCTGTGTCGAGTTGTGCTGGTGATAAGACCCCCGGGCCTGGTGGTTTCTCCTTGGCCTTCTTCCAGCTCTGTTGGAACACCATCAAGGGGGAGTTGATGGAAGCCACTGAATACTTCCATGTGAATGGTGTTTTCGAGAGAAGTATCAATGCTTTTTTTATTACTATTGTGCCTAAGAAAGAAGGTGCATCTTATATCAGTGACTACAGGCCTATTAGTCTCGTGGGGAGCATTTACAAGATCATTTCTAAAGTGCTTTCCAATAGACTCAAGAAGGTTCTTGACGTATCTGTTTCGTCCTCCCAGAATGCGTTTGTGGAAGGTAGGCAGATCCTGGATGCCGCTTTGGTGGCAAATGAACTTGTCGACTCCAGAAGGAAAAATAGAGATCCCGACTTACTATGCAAGTTGGACCTTGAGAAGGCTTTCGAACATGTCAACTGGGAGTTCCTGGATTTCATTATAATGCGGAAGGGGTTTGGGGCAAGATGGAGGGGATGGATCAAGTTCTGCATTTCCTCGGTCAGATTCTCCGTCCTGGTTGATGGTAGCCCGTGTGGTTTCTTTGGCAGCTCCAGGGGTCTCAAGCAAGGAGACTCCCTATCCCCATGCTATTCATTCTAGTGATGGATGCTTTGAGCAAAATGATGGATCGAGCAGCGGGCGGAGGTTTCTTGAGAGGATTCTCAGCTTCGATCGGGGTGCCCAGTGCCCGAAGAGTCTCTCATTTGCTTTTTGCGGATGACACCCTGATTTTCTGTGATGCCAATATGGATCAGTTGACCTACCTGAAGCAAGTCCTGCAGTGGTTTCAGATAGTATCGGGTCTCAAAATCAACCTCGGCAAGTGTGAGATTTTCCCGGTGGGTGAGGTTGCTAACATTGATGCTTTGTCTTATGTTCTCAAATGTAAGTTGGCTCCCTTCCCACTACTTACCTGGGTCTCCCACTGGGCGCTTCGCATAAGGATACTACGGTTTGGAATCCAGTGATCGAAAGAGTTGAAAAAGATTAGCAGGCTGGCAGAAACGGTACTTGTCAAAAGGCGGAAAGGAAGTGCTCATTAAAAACACTTTATCGAGTATGCACACCTATTACTTGTCCATGTTGCAAGCCACTGTGAGCATCACAGAAAAACTGGAGCGGCTTCAAAGGAATTTTCTATGGGATGCAGCGGCTGGAACTAGAAAGTATCATCTAGAGAATTGGCGGACAGTCACTTCCCCAAAGAAGTGGGGTGGAGTTGGAGTAAAAGATCTTAGCGTATTCAACAGAGCTTTGTTGGGGAAATAGCCGTGGGGATTCGGGGTAGAAGAGCATGCTCTATGGAGAGAGGTCATAGTAGAAAAGTACGATTCCACGGGAGGGGGTTGGAGGACAAGGCAATCACAACACCTTTCAGGTGTAGCATGTGGAGGAGCATCATGAAGAATTGAGAATCCTTCAATGGCAACATCTCTTATAGGGTGGGAGATGGAAGGAGAATCGGCTTTTGGAATCATAGGTGGTGTGGAAAGGATACTCTGAGGGTCTCCTTCCCCCACGTCTTCAGAGGTTCAAACCAGAAGGAATTGATGGTCCAACAGATTCGTAAGGAGCATGTAGGGGGTAATATGGGACCTCTCATTTAGAAGGAACATGCAAGATTGGGAGATTGCGGAGCTCCAAGATTTATTGACACTATTATATGGGCAAGACATGCCTCAGCCATCTTGTGATTCTTGGAGATGGGGTTTGCGTGGCGATGGTTTGTTCACCGTAAAGTCCTTTTACCAGAGTATGTTGGTGAGAGAGGAGGCCTCTTTTCCATACTCCTCGATTTGGATTCCTAAGGCGCCCACGAAGGTGTGCTTTTTTGCATGGCTAGCAGTGAGGGGAGTGATTTTGACGGCTGAGAATCTGCGAAAGAGGGGAATTACACTTGTTAGTTGGTGCTATATGTGTAAAAGCTCGGGGGAAGAAGTTGATCATCTTTTGTTGCATTGCCCTGTGTCTTCGGCTTTGTGGAGGGCGATCCTGAATCTTTTTGGTGTTCAATTGGTGATGCCAAGCACTGTAAAGGAAATGCTATATAGCTGGGCCGGTTTCCGTAGAAGAAGAAAGCAAAAAGCGTAGAAGTTCGCCCCGTTAGCTCTCATGTGGATAGTTTGGGGGGAGAGAAATAGGAGAGCTTTTGAGGGGATTGAGTCTCCTTTTTCACATCTTAAGAATAGTCTTTTATCTTTGATCACTTTTTGGTGCACTCATATAGCCCCTATTTGTATAGAAGATTGGGCGTCTTTTGTAGAGAATCATGTTCTGATGTAAATTCACTACTTTTTAGTATACTTCTTGTATACGGGAGTTCTCTCCCTTTTGATTAATACAATTTACCTTATCAAAAAAAAAATTATGTCCCTGATCTTTTTAATCTTTCTTTTCCCAGTTAGACCCAACTCCATGAACACCATGTTTCTGATTGTGGTAAAACATCTACATTTCTTTACACAACAAAGACATGCATGCCGTCTTGTAAGCAATGAAAAAAGCTAAACTGGAAACAAACAGAAGCGCTTAATACATGTCTCCTGAGTTTTCAGACATCGTATCTGAACTCCTTGAACTCTTCACGCTTCATAAGTGAATTTT